TTGATGTGAGACCACATGGATTAGCTTCCTTATCAAATTTGCTTTCCATCCATATGTGGATCGTCGAAAATGGAGTCCAAATAAATCTGGGTGACCAGTTTAATGCAGATCGGGTCGGGAGGCCGAGACAGACTCGAAATCATGTTGGACCGGGCCTCCGGTTCCTGTTGGACATCCTTGCTGGTCAACATCGCCTCCACCACATCCTCTAAGTCCCTCATGATCCTCTCCAATGTTCCTAAGAAAAATAACATCATTAGGTAGTAGTATATTCTCAAAAATATGAAAAGGATCGCTTAAGAACGAGCTCACCTCTAAATTGAGTTGACGTATTCGAGCCTGGGTCATTGGACCTTGCATGACGGTTGGTGGATCAGCGGGTACATCCGAAGGAGTGATGTCCTCATCAAGCCTTCATCGAGCGAGGTAGAGCCCGCGGCCTTGGGGTCAGGTGAGGCGGAGTCCTCCCCCTGAGGCCGGGCATGGCAGAGCGCAAACCCAAGGGTTGGGCGAAGAAGAGTGTAGATCTAAGGGTCGAGCAAGCGGAGTCCTCCTCCGGAGGTTGGGTGAGGCGAGCGTGAGACCCAAGGGTCAGGCGAGGGGGGCACAAGCCCAAGGGTTGAGTGAGGCGGAGCGCAGCCCAAGGGTGGGCGAGGCGGAGCGTAGATCCAAGGTCGGGTGTGGCGAGAGCATGCGGCCTTGGGGTCGGCGAGGGGGAGTCCTCACCCAGAGGCGGGGGAGGCAGGAGGTAGTCCCAAGGGTCGGGCAAGGTGAGTCCTCCCCTAGAGGCCGAGTGAGGTGGCTTGAGACCCAAGGGTCGGACAAGGCGAAACCTGAGACCCAAGGGTTGGGTGAGGCGCTCTGAGACCCAAAGGTCGGTCGAGGTGGTGCCCTCTCCTAGAGGCCGGGGTCGGTTGGAGCTATAGTCGCGCTCTTATTTGCTCGGATGAGTAATGTTGTGATCATTAGCTCCTCCTCTTGGTACCCTAGTATTGGTCCCTTACATTATGGTTCGGGGTTTAGGGTTTAGTGTTTAGGGTTTAGGGTTCAGGGTCTGAGGTTTAGGGTTTAGGAATTAGGGTTTAGGGTTTAGGGTTTAGGGATTTAGGGTTTAGGGTTTAGGGTTTAGGGTTTAGGGTTTAGGGTTTAGAGTTTAGGGTTTAGGGTTCAGGGTTCAGGGTTTAGAGTTTAGGGTCTGGGGTTTAGAGTTTAGGGTCTGGGGTTTAAAGTTTAGGGTTTAGGATCCAAGGTTTAGGATTTGGGGTTTAGGGTTTGGGGTTTAGTGTTTAGGGTTCGGGGTTTATGGTTTAGGGTTTAGGGCTTAGGGTTTTGGGTTCGGGGTTTAGGGTTCAGTGTTTAGGATTTATGGTTTAGTGTTTAGTGTTTACGGTTTAGGGTTTAGGGTTTAGGGTTTAGGGTTTAGGTTTTTGGGTTCGGTGTTTAGGGTTTAGGGTTTAGGATTTAGGATTTCGGATTTAGGGTTTAGGGTTTAGGGTTTAGGGTTTGGGGTTTAGGATTTAGGGTTCAGGGTTTAGAGTTTAGGGTCTAGGGGTTTAGAGTTTAGGGTTTAGGGTTTAGGGTTTAGGATCCAAGGTTTAGGATTTGGGGTTTAGGGTTTGGGGTTTGGGGTTCGGGGTTTAGTGTTTAGGGTTTAGGGCTTAGGGTTTTGGGTTCGAGGCTTAGGGTTTAGGGTTTAGTGTTTAGGATTTGTGGTTTAGTGTTTAGTGTTTACGGTTTAGGGTTTAGGGTTTAGGGTTCGGGGTTCGGGGTTTAGGGTTCGGTGTTCGGGGTTTAGGGTTTAGGGTTTAGGTTTTGGGGTTTAGGGTTTAGGGTTTAGGTTTAGGGTTTAGGGTCTATTCGGGGTTTAGGGTTTAGGGTTTGGGGTTTAAGGTTTAGGGTTCGGGGTTTAGGCTTCGGGTTCGGGGTTTTGGGTTTTGGGTTTCGGGTTTAGGCTTTAGAGTTTAGGATTTAGTGTTTAGGGTACAGGGTCTATGGTTTATGGGTTTTAGGGGTTTAGGGTTTAGGGTTTACGGTTTGGGGTTCATGGTTTGGGATTTAGGGTTTAGTGTTGAGGGTTTAGAAGGACAATATTTTGTATAGGAGACTACTTGTATATAGTTTGGAAAACGGAATATAGTGCAATGTTTGGGGTTTAAGGTTTAGGGTTCAGGGTTCGGGGTTTACGGTTTAGGGTTTTAGGGTTTAGGGTTTAGGGTTTGGGGTTTAGGATTTAGGGTTTAGTGTTTAGGGTTCGGGGTTTAGGGTTTAGGGTTGGGGCTTTAGGGTTTAGCGTGCAGGGTTTTGGGTTTAGGGTTCGGGGTTTATGGTTGAGGGTTTAGGGTTTAGTGTTTACGATTTAGGGCTTAGGGTTTAGGGTTTAGGGTTTAGGGTTCGTGATTCAAGGTTTAAGGTTCGGGGTTTAGGGTTTGGGGTTTAGGATTTGGGGTTTAGAGTTTAGGGTCTAGGGCTTATGGTTTAGGTTTAGGGTTTAGGGTTTGGGGTTTGGGGTCTGGGGGTTAGGGTTTAGGTTCTAGGGTTCGAGGTTTAGGGTTTGGGTTCGTGGTTGAGGGTTGAGGTTTTAGGGTTTCGGGTTTGGGGTTTAGGCTTTGGAGTTTTGGATTTAGGGTACATGGTTTACAGGTTACGGGTTTAGGGTTTAGGATTTGGGGTTTAGGGTTTTGGTTTGGGGGTTCTTGGTTTGGGATTTGGGGTTTAGTGTTGAGGGTTTAGAAGGACAATATTTTGTATAGGAGACTACTTGTATATAGTTTGGAAAACGGAATATAGTGCAATGTTGTAAAATATCCCATATTTGATAGAGTTTCTAGTGAGCAATCAATCAATGGATTCGTCAAGCTCCAATTTTTGAACGGTGTAGTATGATGTCAACAATATTGTAATTAATTATGTTGCATGGATGTATTTGTAGTTCTGCCTCTGTCTCTAAAAGAATCGATTTCATGTCACTTTACGATAGCTAAGCAAAGAAGTTCAAAGACCAAGTTGGTTTTAGTAGTTTGTTTAATCTTAATTGCTCTTTTTTCCAATGTTAAGCCTAATTTTGCCATGTCGTTTCAACCATGCAATAGTGGTTCTCTAAACTTAGCTTGTTTTAACTGCGACTCAGGTTGTGGGACAGAGTAATATGAATCCCTGGACCGTTCACCTTTAGAAATCGATTAATTTGAACACAAATTTTTGTTTTAGATTCAAATTGATATTTTCAGCTATGAAGGGAGTAGCATAACTTGAGTGCTCAAAGTGGTTAGTGTGAGTAATATGACGCCGGTGTCCAATTTGCTAAGCTCATTTTTTTTGGGTTCTTGTGTGTGGGTCGGGATGCGTTGGCTGTGTGCCTTCATGCAGCACCAGCGGTAGAAAAGCGAGAACAAGGCATTGGCACCGATTGCTTTTTCCTCTCTCTCGTGTATCCTCACCCCTGCATCGTGATCCTGAGTGCAGTTTGGCAGGCGCAATATTTTTCCATCTCCCGTTGCTTAGGGCGCATTTAGTTCCCAAATTTTTTTGGTTTGGGTACTATTTGGCTACTGTAGCACTTTCGTTTGTATTTGGTAATTAGTGTCGAATTATGGACTAATTAGGTTCGAAAGTTTCGTCTCGCGATTTCTCACCTAACTGTGCAATTAGTTTTTTTCCGTCTATATTTAGTACTCCATGCATGTACCGTAAGATTCGATGTAACACTTTGGGGTAAAAATTTTTGAAATCTAAACCGGGCCTTAATATCGCTGCATCTGCCGGTCATGGAGACCCTGACTCCATTTTTGAATCTTGCACACAAAGCAATGATGATGGTCGTGACCCCAGTGCGGTCGACGTCAATCGCCTTCATTTTTTGTTGTTTAGTCACGTCATTTTGTTCTAGTATTGGAGAATCCCGTGTGCATGGTGTGTGTGATGTTGCAGCACTTGTTCTGTGTGCGATATGTTTAAATCAGTTCATTATCGCGCTTCAAAGAAGAGTTTATTTTTAAACAAGTATTGCATATTGGGTCATTGGTTATGTTTTGTTTTGTAAGTTATTTTTTACAGGCATTTGGAGGATGGTCCTGTTTAAATTAATGTATGGTAATGAATGTACTTTAGTGTAATTGTATCTTGATTCTGTTCAAATCACTGGTTATGGAGTGTGTGTTTTTGTGTAAGAGTGTTCTGTTTGGCAAAAGTATAGTAATTTTATTAATTTGTCATATTTTTTTAAAATGATATATATTAATTTAGAAAATGCCTTAGAGGTAGTGCGTTTTACTTATGCATTTGTTTAGTAAAATTTTTGTTTGATGGAGTTTAGTATAATTTCGCACATTTGAAACCTAACCTGATATCTTTTCCCACTAGCAGGTTGTGGGCATGTTCGGCTGGTCAGCTTCGGCTAGCTGGCTAGCCTTTTTTTTCAGCGAAACAGTGTTTTTCTCTCACTAGATTTTAATATAGATAGTGTTTTCCAGCTAAAATTAATGCCAGCCGAACACTCTCACGATCTGGTTCTAGTTGAACCTCATGCAGTTTTATTATTTTTCTCTCACCAGATTTTAATATAGATAGTTTTATTATTTTTGTTTTCGCCTCACTGGTCCCCACCTGGACTGCGGTGTGTGCATTTGCTGCATCCCTATTGACCCACGTGAACCTCTTGTCCCTGCCGGACGCGGCAGATTCTTAGAGATGAAGCGCAGGAGATGTGTTTTTTATTTTTGTCCTTGTGTGTACTGGCAGTCAAGATTCGCATCCTTGTTCTCTGATGCGTCTCTCTCGCTTCCTCTTGTCTACGTCACGTCTATATACAGTCTGTTCGTTTGCTCGTAAATAATTATAAATTTCTAATTAGGAATAATATTTTTCTCTCACTCTAAATCAGCCAGCAGTAAATAATTCACGATACGAAAAGGCTCATACATCTCTGATAGCTCTATCCCTTACGCATTCTGTCTTCCCAAACGCATAGCCAGCACCAATCATGGCTCCCCCATCTCCTACCCATGGCAAGGCGAAGCTTGCAGCTGATGGTGTCGGGGCTTCCGGCTCTTGGAAGTGATCTCGGCCGCAGGTCCCTGTGTCTCCGGCGACGGCCGAAGCTGCTGGCGGCGCAGGCGGCCGAGAAGGTGTTCGTTGCTCCAGATGCGCTTCTAGCTCTCAAGGTATGCACAGATCTCGGTCCTATATTTGCTTCCTTTGAGTTCTTATGTTGTCAGATCTGGACAAGATTTGATGCCTTTCTTTGTTATTTTTGTTGGGGGGAAGTTATGGAAATCTAATACCGTTCTTGTGTGTACGCACAAAATGTTGGGCCGTCATCTTGCCGGATTTCCTCCCGAACGTGAATCCAGCCGCATCCTGTTGCAGTCAATCACTGGTCTCCGCGCTCCTGGAGTTAAGGGGACGAACCGCTTGGACGCACAAACCGTGCTTCAGTCCATGTTGATGGTTCTACTGGGTCCTTGCTGCGGGGTGCACCGCACACGAGTAAGATCCTGGCCGTCGCAGTTGACAAGTCTGGACTCGCTGGTACCGCGGTGCCACACACATCGCATGAACGCCATGGCGATCTCAAGCTGATGGCAACATGTTGTGAGGTCCCACATTTGGTATGTCTCAATCTTTAGCTGCAAGTGCTTTGTCCTCCATTTTTTTTCCTAGTCCATTTGCTGCTCTATGCTTTCCGTTCCGTAACTCTGTATCTTGTTTTTGGGTTCTTCTTGTGGTGGGTCCCCAGTGTGGTGCTCCTCTGGGTCTGTCCGAGGATGTTCCTGCTCCAACGTAGAAATCTGTTTCTCCGAACCAGAAGGCAGGTGCTGCTGTCTCTGCAAAAGCACATCAGGTAGATGAAGAAACCACCGTTTCTGGTTCAGTGTAGTATGTAATTTTGTTCTTATTGGTTCATTTCGTCTTGGATGCACAGACTGCCCGTGGTCCTCCTGCCGGTGTCACCGAGCCCCCACCAACGTCCAGCCGTTTTGAGGAAGCTGTAAAGCCGAAGTCCGTTGCTCCCTCTTCTGGAGTGGGCCATAAGGTACATCAGCAATTCACCGTTTATTTTCATTGTTTGTGTTCTTATTGTCTCATTATATCTTGGATTTACAGACCCCCGAGGGCCTCCTGCCGGTGGCCCGGAGCCCCCACGGCCGGCTAACCGTATTCCGGAATCTGTAAAGATGAACAGGGTGTTCGGACGGTGAGTTCAACAGTAGATTTTGGATGATTGAATAGTATTCTGTGAGAGAGAATAAGCTGAAACAAGCCGGAACCTTACCAGCCGAACGGGGAGTCAGCTGCTGGCTCTTCTGGGGTGGCCGCTCAGGTATCTCATCATTTCCTATCAAAGTGCAATAGGTTTTTAAATGTAGTGCCTGTACTACAAGTGTGGCCGTAGTTAGGGTGTATTTAGTTGGAGAGTTGAAAATTTTTGGGGGTCATATCAGATGTGTCGGAAGGATGTCGGGAGAGGTTTTGATACTAATAAAAAAACAAATTACAGAACCTATCAGGAAACTGCGAGACGAATCTAATGATACTAATTAATCGATCATTAGCACATGTGGGTACTGTAGCACTTAAGGCTTTTTATGGACTAATTAGGCTTAAAAGATTCGTCTCGCGATTTTACCGAGAACTGTGCAATTAGTTTTTTTTTTCATCTACATTTAGTACTCCATGCATATGTCTGTCTAAACATGCTCTTTTACTGTAGGAGGCAAATTTTTTTGGAAACTAAACTGGGCTTTAACATGCGGCCCAAAAACGTATTCACTGTTTTCAAAACTGTAGATTTGGCTGTGTGTTCAAACGGCGATTCAATTAAAGTTTCGTTACCTTTGGTTGTAGGGACATGTCGGCCGTGCTGCTATTATGCCGAGGCTTGCTGTTGAGCCCCTGCCATTGCACAGGGGCAGGACTTTCGTGAAGCACTTCGACGCTCCTTTCAAGACGTCCATTGTAAGCACAGACTACCTTTAATTCCCAGCTATTGTTTACCGTATACTCTTACATAAACAAAGACTGAAGACTCACTTTTTTATGACGTGTAGTTAACGTGTATGTGTTGTGCCACTCTGCACGTCTGCTAGTGTATGAGTTATTGTTGTATTCTTGACTAATGTACTAAGTGAGCTGCAATCAATTGTTGTTAAGGTTCTAGATTACTCCTCTCTATGCTTACTGTAAAGCTTTATTGAAAGATTGTGTTGTCCTCTTTTGTGGTCTCTAGTACTTGTGTAATGCAGCATCATGTGACCTTATATTGGTAGTGTATTTTACTTACATCGATTTATCAAATGTTGTAGTTTAATATATGCAGCGCCGATGTTAGCTGCTCCCTGTTGTCACCTACTTATTATTGTTTGGATGAGCATTGGTAGACTTTAATTCATATTGTAATTAGATTGCAGTGTGTATAGTCAAAGCAGCCATACTTATTGTGTTGCTCCGGTTTCGTCCTGTTACATTGTAATGCCAACAAAATTTTAACTGATGTAAATGTAGATTTTTTAATGCAATTATTGCTTATTTATTTAAGATATGTCAGTATCATGCCTGCAAAAAACTGTCAATAGTTCTTATTTACTTCTGTACTAGTAAAATCCATGGATATTGCCTGTTTTTGCTAATGATGTTGTATTATTTGTTAGAGCTAATTACTTTGTCGGTGGACAGGCAATTCCGACTGAAGTATGGAACATTATCAAGGAGGACAATAGTAGCACCATAATGCTGACGGGTGATTCCATGGGCTACCATGAAATCACCGTTGAGCTGCAGAACAACAAGCATGTCTTCACTAATGGGTGGACCGCATTTGTCGAAGTTGAGCGCATCCCCCGTGGTGACATGGCAGTATTCGCATGGGTCCGAGAGGGCACCCTCTCTATGTGTCTCTATGGTCCAAATGGTGGTGACAAACCAATGGCAAACCGTCCACCTCATGGTCATCCACTTCTTGAAGATTTCCATCAGCAACCTACAGATGACCCCGAGAATGGAGGTGATGTTTACGGTGAGTCACATTGAAGTTTGTTTCATTACAATTCAGTGCGATTCTATATCTGTTGTAGATGGGCCATACGTGGCAACTAAAATGCGTACTTCTTTGATGAGTCACGTACTCACTGAATTTATATTTATTGTATCCTTGTGCAGTTCCAGCTAATATCCTTGGTATGGTGTTTGAGCTTGGTGCTGGTGTTGTCATGGGACCGGAAATCATGCAGACATTAGCTAATGTCTGGCACTACTGGGATAGCAGCTTTGCCTTATATGTGTGTATTATTGTGCCAACTCAAGTTGGACCCAGGAGCCATTTTGTGAGTTATATGTTCAAGCTGGGCTTTTCCTTTGTGCTACACCACACTGTCTGTCTCTAGTATCGAATGAATTGTCTATGTACTTCTCTAATTGCTTGTTTATTTTGTGCAGTGGTTTGGGAGTAACTTCTCTCAGACTTTGGAGTACAGGAAGCGTGTTGTGATGTTCTCTAGCACAGCAACAATGTCCGTGGTGAGGGAGTTTTGGTGAGACCTTCCATCTCAACTATTATTGCACCACTATTACTGGAATGGTTTCTAGGGGTGGTTGGTGAGGCTTTGTAGAGGCGGCTCGGCCAGCCGCCCCTACCATACCGTCTCTACAAATCATACATTTGTAGGGGTGGTTTTCAGACCGCCCTTAAAAATCGATTTCGTAGAGGTGGCTGGTACCCTACAATATCGATTTGTAAGGACGACTGTAGTACCAGCTGCCTCTATAATATCTGTTTGTAGGGGCGGTTCTATCTAAAACTGTCCCTATCCCTATAGTAAATTTTTTCGCCAAAATAAATTTGAATTTATAATTCAGAACACACGCGCGCGCACACACACACACACACACACATATATATATATATATATATATAATTCAAATCTGACCACAAGCACAAGAACATTATATAAACTACCATTACAAGTCCAATTCACAAGAGTATATACAATCTATCATTAAATAGACAGAATTCACAAGTCTAATTCGTTTTACAAGTCCAAACCGTTCCACAAGGTAAGACCAATATCAAATTTCATACACATTGTTATCAACGTCGTAGAGCTAGCCTTTTAGTCTCACGAAGGTGTTGTACTGAGGATTTCTATTTAAGTCAGAATCTCGATCATAGTAGCAGCCTTTGATGTGTACAATCTAATCCAATATGAAGTTGTAAAGGTCACCGACGAGCTCTAAGAGTTGGTCATGCTTGTATGGGTCTCTTTATTTTTTTTCTCTTCTTTTCACTACAAGAGAATAAGTTTCGGTTTAATATTTCATATCATGTGTGAAGTTTTTATACTATGGGTGAAGAGGTTCAAACTTACTCTTAAGGGGTATCTCCTGTAGGCATCGATGTTACTCATCATAGAACATACATATTATCCACAATGTACACTCCTAGGCTTCTGCTTGGGGCACTGTGTGTTTTGCATATGAAAATATTAAATAATGCTTTTGACAGCTATGTAATGGAGTACTCAAGTAAGTTACACTTACCACACATAATGTTTTTATAGCCAATATTTCATTCCTTACTGGATCATGTCTTCTTTGATATTCATTGACATAGAACCTGAATGCCCTATTTGAATTATTTTAGCAAATGCAACTAGTTAGTATCAAAAGTGAACGTTATAAGTATATATACAAACATATAAGCTAATGAGTATTGTCGATATATATACGTCTTGAGAATCGATATGAAGTCTCTGTATGTTATCGGGTCTCTATCTATTGAATCAAAGACCCATGCCATGCTCCTTCCGACATCGACGCTTGTACAAATTCAGTGGTTGCTGTATAAATTTAATCATAGAACTAGATAAGCTCTTTTGCATCGAATAAATTGTATCGAACAAAGCTTTATGTATAGAGTTGAACTTACTCAAAGTTGTATGGACAGCCACATAGTAGAGTGTTGTTGAAGATTTTTAAAAGTCAGGACAATATATGTCGAAACCTTAAAGGACTCTTGCCTTAGTTTCTTCGTACGGATGTTCTCTTTCTGTCGAAGGGTCTTTCCAGCAGCTAGCTTTTTAGCATTCAGTATCCACTGTCTAGGGTAATTAAAATTTGTTTGTGTTATAGCTTGAGGGTCTATATACCTGGCTTTCACATTTGACATTTGTTTTATAATGTGCACTTACATTATATAAATTACGGTGTGGGTTAGTTACAATAAAATTCAAAAATTATATTCATATTATTTTGGGAGGGCAAGGACTTACAGGCACCACGTGCGAATTAGATTTATTTCTATTGCTCCGAGGTGAAAGCATATCTCTATGTCATTGAAGTCAAAGATAATTTTTTCGGCTGGGCTTTCAAATGTGATGGTGGGAAAGTATGTCTGTACGAGGTCTATTGTCGTTAGAAGAACACGCAAGTATCAATCATGGAACCTTCTCATTCTAAGTGGTAGGCGTTGCATGTCCGGTTTGGTAGGAAGGGCTTGCCTCTTTCATATGTTTTCGGGCAATTCTTTGACCATTTGATGGTATCAACATTTGGATATTTTTTTGCTGTTTGGTGGATTTTGTTAGTGACGGTCTCCTCAGAAGCTCGTGTTGGAACTTTTTTAACTTGATTCTCAGGTTTGAACTGGTCATGGGCATACCATTTGTGCACCGACGAGACGTCTTTTATCGGAACATAAATTGGCCTTGTGGTGATTGGATGCTTCTTTTTAAGTTTCCATTCAAGCACGTCCTTATCTTTTTGTGCATTATCTTCTTCAGGAGGTAATCGTTGTTCATATATCGGCTGCGCTTGTTGAGAAGATCGTGACATCTCATCATGCACTTGCTCGGTACGAGCTGAAGAAGGTTGTGGCTTATCAGGCACATGTTCGCTAGGATGCGGGGAAGAATGTGGCATCTCAGGAATGTGGTGGTCACGAGATGGTGAAAATATCTCCTCGTTCCCAACAACTCGCTCCAAATTTGAGAGAGAGGGAGGCGACGAAGAAGCAGTCAATATAATGTTTCGTTTGTGCCAGAGAATGAACTGGCTCATTATGTCTCCGAGTAACAACAGCCCATCGGGAGTTGCGTAGTCTATCCTCCACTGTATGAACTCGGGATTCACGGTATGCACATCGACCCTAGTATAGTTCGGCGATATCTTATTATTGTGGTGTAAACCACTAGAAGGATGTGCCACACCCGTTGCCACCTCCATCACAATGTTCTGCCAGTCGCTGAGAAACACCAAGGTGTAACTAGTTGGTTCCCGTATGCAATCGACAAGGGTTGTGGCTGCAGTGGAGCCTTAGCTGTTAGGAACTTTCGGAGGGCTGTCAACTAATGCCAGTTCTCCTAGCGGCGTCATTAATGTCCATGGCTCTGTAATCAGTCAGTGCTTCTCCAGCGTCTTTGCAACTAGAGCCTTCACTTGAAGCTCAAGATTAGCCTCTCGGTCTCTGCCATATTTCTTGTACATATACATGTCCTATTCGAATTCGTGCTTTCAGATCATACTTTTCTCTAGCCCCTAGTGCGGCATGTGTGCTCGTTGTTTCCCAAGCCAAGGCTAAGCTCGTCCCTCTCTCTGGAAGGATTGAATGAGCCTTTCTTCGTGTCTTCAGCATATTTCAGTATCCTTAATACTGTCTTTTGGGTCTTCGGCTTATCAAACTTAAGATTATCGTCGAATGATTCTGTACTCCTCGCATATATCCAAGTCCTTGAGTGTACCTTTAAATTCTTCACATCGATATTCTCAGAAGTTGCGGCCCCTTCGTCTATCTTTCTAAACTGCTCTTCCTTGACATAGTAGCCACCAGGGCCTAGATGATGGTGGTGTTTGTTCCTCTTCGCCAGCTCGGTGTTACGGGCACTGGGCTCCAATGTCTCCGGTGAAGTCTTCTGAGCCATGAGCTTCTTCCATTGACTAAGAGTTATGTTGTTGAGCTCGTTGAAGGAAGTTAACCCCTTTTAAATATACTTCTTGTTGAGCTTCGACCTCCAACGTTGGAATGACTCTCCCATGATCTTAAAAGTATTTTTTACCTTATCCTCCGAAATCTAAAATTAAGCTTCAGCTGCTTATCCTACAGTTCATTCTTTTTCTTCTCTAGTACCTTTTTCCAGTTAGAGATTGCTGGTTTCAATTTATTTTTTACTTAGGCCCCAATCGCATTACGGAATCGTCCTCTGAATTCCTTCGGCTCAAGGATCGCCCCTACTAGTCCGACCTCCATTATCACAAAGCATGTCTTATCTGGATATTGGTTTGTTTTTCTATCCTCTCATTTTCACTTTATCTCCTCAAGCATATCCAAAAGGGGTTAACTCCCTTCTACGAGTTCGGCAACATAACTCCTAGTCAATGGAAGGAGCTCGTGGCTCAAAAGACTTTACCGGAGGCATTGAATCTCAGTGCTCGTAACACCAAGCTGGCGAAGAGGAACAAACACCATCATCATCTAGGCCTCGGTGGCTACTATGCTAAGGAAGAGCAGTTTAGGAAGATGGATGAAGAGACTGCAGCTTCTGAGAACATCAATGTGAAGAATTTGAAGGTACGCTCAAGGAGTTGGATATATGCGAGAAGTATAGAATTATCCGGTGGTAATATTAAGTTTGATAAGCCGAAGACACAAGAGCCAGTATCAATGATACTGAAATATACTGAAGACAAAGAGAAGAGCTCATTCAATCCTTTCAAAGAGAGGGACGAGCTTTGCCTTGACTTGGGAAACAACGAGCACACATGCCACACTAGGGGGCTAGGGAAAAGAATGACCTGGAAGCATGGATTCGAAGAGGACAGACACATATACAAGAAACATGGCAGAGATCGGGAGGCTAATCTTGAGCTCCAAGTGAAGGCTCTAGTTGCGAAGGCGCTAGAGGAGCAACGACTGTCTACGGAGCTACGGAAAGTTCTCTGAAAGTTCCTAGCAGCCAAGGTTCCACTACAGCTACAACCTTCGTCGATCGCATACGGGAACCAACTAGTTGCACCTTGGTGTTTCTCAGCGGTCGGTAGAACATTGTGATGGAGGTGGCAATGGGTGTGGCACATTCTCCCAGTGGCTTACACCACAATAATAAGATACCGTCGAACTACACTAGGGTCGAGGTGCATACCGTGAGGCCCAAGTTCATGTAGTGGAGGATAGACTACGCAACTCCCGAGGGGCTGGTGTTACTCAGAGGAGTAATGGGGCAATTCATCCTCTGGTACAAACGAGACATTATATTGACTACTTCGCTGGCTCCCCCTCTCTTGAATTTAGAGCGAGTTGTTGAGGGCGGGGAGATATTTTCACCGTCTCGTGACCATCACATTTCAGAGATGCCACGTTCATTTTCGCCTCCTCTCTTAAATTTAGAGCGAGTTGTTGAGGACGGGAAGATATTTTCACCGTCTCGTGACCATCACATTCCAGAGATGCCACGTTCTTTTTCGCCTCCTAGCAAGGATGTGCCTGATAAGTCACAACCTTGTTCAGCTCGTACCGAGCAAGTGTATGATAAGATGCCACAGTC